CGTCACCGGATTGGGCTTGAGTGCTGGCAATGGCAGCGTCAGCATCCCGCACGTCGTGCCCCCGAAGTCTAGCGGCAGCGATACGGTCCGCTCCACTGTTCACATCCCTGGATTCTCAGAGGCGGAGAACAACGCATTGGTCCGAGAGGTGGCAGAGATGGCGGCCACTGCGGCCACGATTGCTGCACGGGAGCGGATGCCTCGCAGGACCTCGGCTCTTCCCCCGGGTTCAACTGCGGCTACCTCGCGTCCCCCGGCCCTCCGTACCGGTACCGTTGCCGACAACGAAGATCTTGCAGCAGCCAGCACTGCCCAAGTGCCCCACGGTGGACATGACGCTCCCAACTGGAGCCGAGGCAAGAGTGCTTTCATCCTCATGGGTGCTACCGTGCTCTATGCCATCATTGCCGAGATTCTTGTGGACACTGTAGACGTCGTTCTCGAGGGCTTCGCGATTGATGAAAAGTTCTTGGGAATTACTCTCTTCGCGTTGGTCCCCAACACGACCGAGTTTTTGGTAAGTTTGGCCTGCACATCATTCCACATTTTTCACATTTTGGTAATGACTAACGATTTGTAGAACGCCATTTCGTTCGCTATGAACGGCAACATTGCGCTCTCCATGGAAATTGGTTCTGCCTATGCGCTTCAAGTCTGTTTGCTTCAAGTTCCAGCTCTTGTCCTGTTCTCTGCAATTTACGTCACCTCGGATCGTTTCGAAGACGTCACTGCACACACCTTTTCACTCCTATTCCCCCAGTGGGACATGGTCACTGTCATCATTTGCGTGTTCCTGCTTAGCTACATGTACGGTGAAGGAAAGAGCAACTACTTCAAGGGCAGCATTCTGCTGCTCAGCTACCTTGTAGTCATTGTGGGCTACTACTTTTCCGGGTACACTGAAGACGCCATGAGCGTGAGTCGATTTGATGTCATGGGCGCCAACGGACAGTACTCGACCATCAAGACTGTTGGCCGGAGAGTGAGCGGCGCTGTTCTGCAGTGATGGAGTTTTGACAAAATGAATGGGTATAGAGGAGAGGCAGTAGCCGAAGAGGGGGAAACATCAATAAAGGGCGGTAGAAGGTCAGAGGTTCATGAAGCCCCCAGTTTCAACTCTGGGGCTTCTGTCAGTTTTTCGTCCGACGGGACATTGCATTATTTTGGTTTTCGCAGGCGGCTATGATGGGACGCTGACGGCGTTAAGGAGAGAAGCACATTACCTAGATTACCCTATCGTTTCATCGCGGATCGCTCGGAATATACATCCCTTAATATTCAAACCCCGAAGTCATGGCCCTCAACATCTTTGAGTCCTCGTCAATGCCTGACCCATCGTTTCTCGTCGAATGCTAGGTGTCGCCGACTTTTGACCGAGTCTAGCGATAGCGTTCCAAACGGCAAATGCTTGTTTTAACATACGACAGGGGGGAACCGGACGATCAACGTCATGACTAAGTGGAGTACCACAACGGCACGACCAACGGCAACGGTACAAATCTTGGCTTTGTGGCTAGACTCTTGTTGCCAACGACTGTGCAACCGAGATTCCCGATCTGAAGACTCGGGTTTGATTGCTATCTCGCGTGGGGAGAGGGGGGGGTAGATAACAGGTAAGTAACATGGCTCCTGCAACGCTGACACGCCTGCAATGCGGGTTGTTAGTGCCGGCCGCGGCAAAGCTTCCGGATGAGGGGAGACGGTTGCTTGATGTCTTCATGACGGCATCAGATTCTAAATGAGAGGCTGTTTATTGGTTGGGGTGTAGTAATAAAATTTTTGGACTACCTGAGAGATGGAAGTCATGGTTTCTGGGCGTGATTCTGCCCGTGCGTGCGTGATTGACTTCTGGCGTGTTGTTGGGTTGCCTGTCGATGAGTGGCTTTGCATCTTATTAACGACGTCTTCCCATCTTTTGTGGTCTTAATCAAGAGACCTGTGTAGTTGATATCGGCTTTCTGATTTTTTTTTTTAATTTTTATCTATCTTGCTCACTATGGCTCCTGCTGAACCTCACGCGATTCCCTTCAAGGCAAAGGGTAAGACGCCTCACTTCAAGGAAGAGAGGGATGGTTGGAAGGGGTACATTGAGTGGGAGAAGTATCCCGAGAAGAAGAAGCAGGTTGAAGAGCTCATGAGGCAGTATGACTTTCCGGATGTGAGTGAATATGTCAATGGCCCCGAGTGTCGATGTGTTAGGAGAGCTTCAGCTGACTGAATCTTCTTCGTCTTACCTGCTGTTAGCCGCCTGAGTATCAACTGGGACCGCTGCCCGATACCAATCCGATTCTTACGGGGGAGCGATGGAAGCAGTACCACTACGCGTGCGGGCTGGGCCATATCCCCGAGATTAGCTGGGATATCGTCAAGAAGGAAAAGGCGGAGGATATGATTCACGTTCTTCAATTTCCATACAACGGCGAACCGCCCCGTGTAAGCTCATCATCCCCATTCTCTTCTCTGGCCCCTTCATCTCATCCCGATAGAGGGCTGACACACGGGAAAACTACAGAAACGCCTGGTAGAGACGGAAATCACCTCCAACAAGGACCACTTTGTCCGCAACCACGGCGGCATCCCCGAAATCGACGAAGACAAATACACCCTCGACATCGCCGGCCTCGTCAACGACCCGCAGACGCTCACCCTGCACGACCTAAAAACCAAATTCGCGCACCAGACCAGCGTCGTCTCGATCCAGTGCTCCGGCACGCGGCGCATCGAGCAGATCGCGCAGTACCCGGGCGACGGCGACGAGCTCATCAACGCCCCCTGGGGCGAGGGCGCCATTGGCACGGCGCGGTGGACGGGCGTCTCCCTGAAGAAAGTCATAAAGTACTGCGGCGGGTTAAAGGACGGCGCGGCGCACCTGGAGTTTTACGGCGCGGATACGTATTTTAAGAAGGGCAAGGTGTATAACTACGTCGTGAGCGTGCCGTGGCGCAAGGTGAAGGCGAACGAGGTGCTGTTGGCGTGGGAGATGAACGGGCAGCCGCTTCCCAAGATCCACGGGTTTCCGTTGCGGACGGTGGTGTTTGGGTATATCGGGGCGCGTAGCACAAAGTGGTTGACGCAAGTGAAGGCCATCGCGAGCGAGAGTAGTGCGCCCGTGCAGAGAAGGGAGTATATCTACTACACGCCGCAGGTGGGGAAGCAGAATGTCAAGTACAGCAACGGGTTCTCGATCCAGGAGATGCCTGTGAGTTCTGCGATTATGACGCCGCGGGATATGGAGCAGGTCGTTCACAGCGGAAAAGTGAGGTTGAGGGGGTGGGCGTATTCGGGGGGCGGGCATTGGCCTGTGAGGGTCGAGGTCAGTGGTGATGGGGGCGGGGTGTGGTATGAGGTCCCGTGGGAGAAGATGAGCGGCAAGTATTTCCATGCGTGGCGGTTGTGGGAGATTGAGTTGCCTGTTGACGCCGAGGGGTGGTTGGAGTTTTGTGTGAGGACGTGGGATAATGCGTGTAATACGCAGCCTACTTTTGTGAGGTCTGCTTGGTATGTCTTTTACCCCCCCTTTTCCCTTGTCTTTCTGCCCTTCATCTTTACAATTCTTTGGATACGATTTTTATAAAATCTCTTTCCGGTTTTGTGGGCAGAGGAGGGCGACGATGATCTAGAGACTGATGATGAGACTACACAGGAACTGGGACTTGCACGTCACGTCGTCGGCGCACCGCATCAAGGTGTACAGCATCAACAAGTCGAGACCCGCGACGGCGGCGAGGCTGAAGAAGCTGGAGGAGAATGGGATTCCCATTGTGCCGATTACGCTGCCTGCCGAGATTGACTTTGAGTCGGATGAGGAGTATGAGAGGAACATGGCGGCGCAGGGCGGGCGGGATCCGACGGAGTGAAGGGGTTTATGGTTAGGTTAGGCTGGGTTTATCAAAGGGTTAGATAACTGGGGAGAAGAAATATTAAGCGAGACAATGAACTAGTTTGTTGTGTTTTGTTTTTGTGGCGATGGTCAGCCTTTAATTTTGTTGTAGTTCTCAGCCAAGACGCTCATATTGCAGGATATTGACTCTTGTAGGTTGAAGTTCTCTCATGTTTACTATACAACAAAGATCACATTCGTGATGTTATTCAGTAGTATGCGAGCAAGTGCTGCTCAAATATTCTGATATTATACCAAGTTTGAGGTCTATGCGGGCGGCAAAGGCCCGGAGTCTGTCCGATGCCAAGTTCAGCTCCCAAGGTCATTCTGCAGATTATCTTACAGAGTTATCGAGCTTCTTACATGAGCAGACTCCTCTCTCCTTTACCCCGTGTTCCGTTCTCACTCCTTGGCTTTGTGGTTCTGCCTGAATAGGTCTCCTGCACAGGAGGTCGGCCATGAGGCCACATCTGAGGGGTCAGTGTGGTAGGCAGACCACTTTCATTATTTATATGCACCGCCTCTTGAGGATTGATGTAGCTTCCCTCCTCATTTCAAATGGAACAGCAGCCCAAAGACGGCTTGTAAGAAATCGATCACCCACTCCCTCCCGGCCTAATACTTCACATCAAACAATATTCATCAAGTTCAGACACGCAGTAACATCATCATGTCTTGTTTCAGAGCGTAGTTTACTTATTCTTCGTCCTGACCAGACTACCTTGATGATACCAAAAAGCAAAAGAGTTCACCCCCCCGGTGGCGAACGGGGGCTACATCTCTGGCGCACATGCTGGGACTCGAACACGGGACCTCTTCGCCTTCACCGATTAGGCTGTTCGTGGACTTCAACCACTCCACCACCCAGCCAGTTTTGACCTGACCCCCAAGGGGGCGCCTGCTGGCTGGGTGACAGGAATGAACTTGAGGGGGGGTATAAAGGGTTTTCACGGAAGGTGCGGAAAGGTATGACCGTGTGGAAGGTACGGCCGATGTGAAGATATATTCACATCCAAGTAGGTGAACAAAGACACGCAAACTCCAGATTCCGCCGGCCGTGGAGTAGACAATGTCTCAACCGACTGGCTCCTTTTCTTTCAAAGTTTCCTACGACCTGAACTCAAAGACCCATCCAGTTCCCGTTTACACTTCCGCCCATACCTTCGAAACCCGGCACGTATCCGTTCCCAAACATGGCCGAGAACTCGTCGAGCGCAGGCGGCATAGGCGATAGACTCCCATCGAGTCCGAAAAACGGCATCGCCGGCGGCAACGACGCCGTACCCTGCCTCCCCGCGCCGGGAGGAACATGTCCTCCTCCGCCACCAGAGTGCCCGTGTCCTCCACCCCGCCATATGCCCGCAGGATGCGGCGGGATCGGCAGCCCCGCGGCATCAAGTCCATCCCTCTCGCTCCTCGCATCACCATTTCCCTGCCCGTGCCCTTGCGCAGGCGTATCCGTCTTCCACAACATCTCCCACTTTTTAAACCTCGCATAATCAGACTCCTTCACTCCAGAAGCACCACCGCCAGCGCCGCCCGCGCCACCGTTACTCTCGTCCGCCATGTCCAGCCTCGAAATGGCGCGCTCAAAGGCCTCGATGAGGGACATTTCCGATTTCGCAGACTCTCCGCCCGCCGACATCTCCCGCAGCATCGCCATGCCTTCTCTGAGAGCGTCGCGGAGGCGGTCCGTCTTCTTCTGGAGGCACTGAGTGATGATGACGAGCAGCGCAGCGCGGCACGAGGAGAATTCCGTGTACGAGGCGCGGGCGAGGCCTACCGTGTTGCGAAGGAGGCGGCAGGTTTCTACGACGAGGAGGGCGGCGTCGACACAGTCTGCTACGAGGACGGCGCGCGGGTGTGTTGTTTTGCCGGTTGAGCTGCTCGTCGTGGCGCGGCCGGCACCGGCACCACCGGAGGAAGGGCCGCCGCCGCCTGCGACTACGGTGACGGCGACGGAGTCTGCGGGGGACCCGGAGGAGCTTGCTGTGCTGCCGCGGTGGGCCGATTCGCGGGGGAAGATGAAGGGGCGGCCGGCGAACATGCGGACGAGGCAGTATTCTAGCCTCAGGTGCATTGTCGGGCGGAAGACGGCGGGGCCCGTGGTTGGGTCCTTGATGAAGGTTGGTTCTGGGAGGCTGTTCCACCAGTTGTGGAGTTGGGCTTTCATCTCGACGAGCTTGGCCATGCCTTCTGGGATTTCGTTCTTTTCAAAAGTTTTAAAGAGGGATCTTGTGGGCTGATGTTAGCGCGAGGAGATAAGAGGGTTCGGTGTAGGGGACGACCTACATTTGGTGAGCTATTCTGCTGAGGGCGTTGTTGAGCTGGAGTGTGGCTAGCATGTGTGCCGTGTTTGGCGGTGCTGAACCGGGCCAGATTTCTGGTCTGTCGACGGGGAGTTCGGCGTCAACGTCACTTGCTGCGATGGATACTGGCCGACCGTGGAATATACCGATACGCCTAGGAGATGAAGTCAACATGTGAGAAGGAGTAAGTGACTCAGGACAAAAGCGTGCTCACTTTTCCGTTGTGTAGGCCGTCCACCAGACACGGTTCCTCGTCTCCCGGATGACAGGGTCGATGGCGGCCCCGGGGTGCTTCCGATGCATACCATTCTGGATTGCGAGCTTGACCGCCAGGTTCAAGTACACGTACGACAGCCCCGAGGCGTCGAGGGGTAACGTATAGAGGCCGATGAGCAGACACGCCTGAACGCTCTCCAGCGACGAAATGGTAATCACGTCGGGGACCAGCCGGCACGCCTGCTGGTAAAACATGATGCCGATGGTGTCCTCCGAAAAGGGGCTCGAGTCGGCGGCGGCGCTGGGCGGGCCGCCCCTCTCGTTCCGGGAGTCGAGGTAGGCGTACTGCGTACCGATGGCAAAGATGATGAGGATCATGCAGACGGTGCCGACGTCACGGCGCGTCAATGAGGCCGAGTTCTCGTAGACGAGGTCGAGCCTGTCCATGAGCCAGTGGCGCTCGACGTAGAAGTAGCTCGTCTCGGCATGGTTGAAGAAGGCCTGGACGAGGAAGTCTGCGACGTAGCGGGGCGGGAGGGAGGAGAGGGAGGCTACTGTGTTGGAGGGGGACTGGAGTTCTTCTGGGCGGTAGTATTCTTTGAATTGTGTCTTTGGACCATCCGGGGCGTCCTATGAGGATGTTTCAGCGATGCTGGCTTGGTATAGGCTCTGTGACAAGAGGGGGCATGCTTACGTTTACACACTGTTCAATCCATTGCTTTATCCGCATGGAGAAGTTCCAGTGTGAGAACTCGCCGGAGTAATCTGCTCGGAGGTCAACATGGCGGTCTACAGGGAGAGGTCCTTCGGGATGCCAAGGCCGAGACTGTTGAGGGTCCGGGGAAGCGGTCCCGGGGAAGAGGGAAGGTTAGAGCAAGGAAGGGAAGGGGAGAAGGAAAAGGGATAGGGCCCGCCTTACGTGTGATGTTGTTCTCCAGAGGCTGAACCGTTATCTCGTCAACCTTGAAAGAGTCGGAGCTATGCGATTGCACCTCTGCCTCGGCGCCTACGTCCGGCTCCATGGTGACATCCGCTTCAGCACCAGCACCAGGACCACCGCCGGCCCCGGTCACCGTGCCCTCCGGGCCGGTGCGCGGTCGTCCAGCAGGCGACTTCATCTTCTCCACGGACTCGGCCAAGGTCTTTAGAGTCTCGGCGTCGAGGGTGCTCTTGCCGGTGTAATGCGCCAGGAGCCGCTCCATGTAGGACATTCTCTGGCTCAACTGGGCGTCTTCATGATGTTGCGAGTGGCGGGGTCTATTATTATTACACCCGCCGGCATGGCCCTTTCGTCAGCCAGATGTTTTATATTGGTGCAAAGAATCCAAGGGAAAGAAAAGCATGAGATATCGCGTTGAGGACTCTTATAACAGTGCTACGATTGGGGAAGGACATGGGTAGAGAGGAATAAGAGGCCTAAAGGTTCTCACCTCGCTGAGTTCTCCGATCCGGGCTCATCTCTCGTCGTGGGCGTGAGGAACTCGCATTGCCGGCGCAGACGGGTGCACCGGCGGCAAGGGACTCCTCCGTCGCATTTTTCCTTGAGTCGCCGACATCCGTCACAGCTTGGTCGCGTCAGCATGAGGGAGGTTCTCTCACATCAATTGGACCGGGTATCTAGTAATGAAAAGGAGACTGGACATGAAACGTGGGAGGGAAAAACAAAACAAAAGAAATGGGCTTCATCGTACGCTCGAACTGCCCTCTTCCGCTCCTTATCCGCTACGCGACGCTGCTTGTGTCGTTGCAGGCGCAGGCCGTCCTCGGGATCCATTTACAACTTCTTCTTGGAGTCGCAATAGCCGATAAGAAGACTGTAGTAGATAGTGAGAGAGGGCGGCGGCAGCGGACGGTGCCGATCAACAGGGCCAGGCGAGGACCCGGGCCGGTGGTGGAGGACTCTCTCTGTCTATGTTTGTCTCTCTGTGTCTCTGGCTTGGTCTTCTTTGTGTGTAGGGAGGTTCGTTTAGGCTCTCCGCGGAAAGCGTTTCCCAAGTGACCCCGCCGTAACGAAGGAAGCCCGTGGTCAGAAAGGAAGGTCTGGTCCTGTCTCTCAATGCCCTTGCAAATTCCTCGGGAGTGAGAGTGGGCAAGGTATGCGGGTGGATAAAGGAATGAGTGAGTGAGTGAATGAGAGTGGTTGTTCCGAGTTTGTGTGTGAGGGGAGCTAAGATAGGCCTGCCGGTGCTGGTGCTGACTCTCTGGCTGAGTCTACTAACCTTAGTCCTCCACCGCCGCGCGCCCCCATTTCCCAGAAGGGGAGGGGGTCGGGGAGGCAGAATTTCGGCGAAACCTCCAGCGCCGCGGTCGGCGGGGGGTCGGAGGGGAACGGACCCGCTGTTTTTTCGCGACCAAGACGCGGGGAAGCCGGCTATATCCCGGTCGGAGCCGAAGTATTGCATGAAGCACGAACCCCAGGAACCCAGATTCTGGAGTCGGCTTGACTCGTGGTGCGGCATCTGACTGTGTTCTAGACTCGTTTACTTCAGAAGACTCCAATTCAAATTCTAGGTATACAGTCGATGCTCAGTGATGCATTAGTCAACGGATGAAAGCTCTTGTGGAGGAGAAAAGTAAAGGAAGAGAGTGTCCTCAAGGATTTGAGATTAACTTAGGTATTATACAGAGTAGACCAGTCTCTTATTGACTTGTCATCATACTAGTTAGAATCGCGGCCCGTATCTCCTTCAAAGCTTCGCCTTCACGTCATCCTCCCACAAAGACTTGAGCCCGTCCTCAAGCGGACTATTTTTCCTCTCGATCCTCGCCCTCGACGTCTCCATGATCCTCGGCAGCCCCGTGCTCTCAAACGAAGCCCCATCGCGAATCATGGCCGCCACGCCTTTACTCGAGAGCAGAATCTCCGGCATGCCGTGACCGGAAAACCCAGCAATGATGAACTGCCCCGGTTTCCCAGGCACACCGCCCAGATGCGGCATAAAATCGGAGCTGTACCCCATGATACCCGTCCACACCCTCTCCGTCGTCGCGCCGCTCTCCTCCCACCCGCGGAAGTGCCTCTGCATGTACCCGTCAAAGTAAGGCGACGCGCCCTTGACCAGCTCGTCGTCCCGGACGTTGTCGAACCACTCGCCCCGCTTGTGCCAAAACATTTGCCGCGCGCCGCCGACGACGATGCTCCCGTCCGCCCGGGGGATGAGGTAGTCGTTGTTGCGCGCGTCGAAGCGGATGCCGTATGTGTTGACCAGGTGCGGGCTGTTGGGGCCGCCGGGGGTCGTGATGCGGCTGCAGAGGCCGCGGACGGGGACGATGCGGTCTTCGTATTGCGGGAGGACTTGAGCTGTGTAGCCGTTTGTGGCTACGACGACTTTGCCCGCGCTGATGGCGCCGCGCGGGGTCTGGATTGTCCAGCGGCCGGCGGCGTCGGGTTGTGATGAGATTGATGTTACTGGCGTGTTGGCTTGTAGGTTCAGCCCCTTTTGGAGGAGACGGTCTAGGAGCTGGTGGACCATTTTGGCTGGCCATAGGTGTGCTGCTGTGAAGGAGAAGGCGCATTGAGCGCCCTTGACTCCTGAGACCTGTGTTTGGATGATTAGTCTAGATCTCTCGTCATCGATGTTATGGGGAAATAGACTTACCCTTTCAGCATCCTTCTTTGGAGTGAAAGCAACATCCTTCATATTCACAACCCCGGCCTTCACCAATTCCCGATACGCAGCCTCAGTCTCCTTGGCATGCTCCGGATCAAGATACACATCAATCGCCCGCGTCAGATGAAAATCGCAATCCAAGCCCTCACTCTCCACAAGCTCCTTGACGGCATACACATTCGAGGCCTCAAACGCGGCCAACTTGGCCGCCTGCTCGGGACCAAAGAGCTTGGTGTACTTTGGCACCTGGAAATACGTGTCGGGCTTGACGTGCCCGCCGTTGCGACCCGAGGCGCCGGAACACACCTTTCTGGCCTCGAGGATGATGATGGACGGCGGGGACGGGTTGTCCTTGAGGATGTGGTAGGCCGTGGCGACGCCCGCGAAGCCGGCGCCGACGATGACGATGTCGCTCGCGGCGGGGAGGTCTGGGGTCGTGCGGTGGTCGTCGAGGGGCCGGGGGGCGGCGTTCCAGAAGGAGGGCACGGGGTTAGGGACCGGGGTCCGGTTTGTCGGCTTTGGTACGGGCATGATTTTTGGGATGTGACTGGATAGGAGGTGGGCTTGGCAGACTTCTTTCGGACTTCTTTTCTTCACAAAGGAGGGGCAAAGGTTTACTAGGCAGGCGAGAAGTAAGGCTTGGGCTGATAAGCAATATGTGTGGACTTTCTATATACCAAAGTTGGGGAAGACAAGCGCTTCTTTGGGCTGGTACTACTATCAATGTACGAACCGGCATGTTTTAATCAGCCAGCGTGCCGTTGAAGTTCAAACGAGACTGATAAGAAGCATCGGAGGTCGGAAAACTGGGATAAGATACATCGGGCATGGGACCCATACCCACCGATATCTCTGTAGTTCCAGCTCCGGATCACGGGTCGATGCTAGTGCTTGTTGGGGGGCTTTGTAACGGAAAACACGGCGAGTGTCCGAGACCGGAGGCCGAACCGGCGGCGGGGGAGTACGGGACCGGCAATTTGCCGGGTCCTCTCTTTTTCTCTCTGAGGTGGGATAAGCAAATGACAGGCGCCCAGTGACATTTGATGCAAGATATCCACAGCGAATCAGCTTCAACCAACAACCCGAGAACGATATCTTCTTCATGGTAGAAAACAATGCATGAAGATTGGTCATGTAGTTCATTATTACGGGGATTTACCGATTGGGGTGCGAGGCCGAGGGCCAAACACCCCGTGATCTTTCCCCCCATCAAACGGATAAGGATCCCACCTCTCATCACGCCGTTTACGCCGCGGCCGCCCCCTCCGAGGCGGCTATAATCTTCCGCGCCATCTCCGGCAGCTCGGTCGCCATGACATCCATCTCCCCAAACAAATCCGTACACGGCTCCCCCTCGTACACGGCGCACCACGCCCCCTTGAACCCGCACCCCTTGGCCGCCGACGCATCCCACATGTGCGCCGCCGCGAACCACGCCTCCTCCCCGCCAAAGCTCTCCAGCACGGGCTTGTACGCCCTGGGGTCCGGCTTGCCAATGCCGTCCGCGTCGCAGCTCTTGAGGTTCTCCGCGGGCATGTCGATGCCCGCCTTGGCAAAGTACCCGCCCACGCGCTTCGCGTCGCCCGCCGTGAAGGCCCAGACTGTGAAGCCGGCTTCTCGCAGCAGCGTGAAGCACTCCTTTGTGCCGGGCCGGGCCTCGAGCTCGAGAAAGCGGTCCATGATGTAGGCTACGTCGTCATCGGTGGCGAGCTTGCGCGGTTCCGGGACGCCGGCTTGGAAGAGCATGCGGTAGAAGAGGCTGCGGAAGATGTCGTAGAAGCGGCGGTAGCGGCCTTGGATGGAGAGGTAGGTGTATTCGCGCTCGGCGGCCTCGATCCAGGCGAAGCTGAGGAGGGCGGGCTTGATGTTGTGTTCTGCGAGTTTGGGGCCGAGACGGGTTTCGATGGCGCGGGGGATGGCGTCGTAGGACATGCAGGTGCCTACGATGTCGAAGACGACGTGTTTCCTTGGTGATGACATGTTTTGGGATGTGTGATTGTGAAGGTAAACTACAAAGTGATTTTGATCATGTGAAGAGCTTATTTTCGGGTAAGGTGAGTCTTTGTGATTTCGAATCTGGTCTTGAAGGTTTATATGAGACCATCACGAACTTTCCAACCATTGAAAGTAGACCATTATTAAGCCAAAAAAAGGCCATAGATAGCCTCATCACCGGTGCGCATCATCGCCCTATCTCGGCGCCTGGGCCCGCGGGGATGAGCGGGGTACGGTGTACCACCGCATGTGCCATACCGCGACGGACCCCTGTTACCCCAGCCGGCTGTCATGGCGGATCCGATGAACCGGTTGCGTATCACTCGGCGGGGCGACCAGTCCCGAGAAGGGGGATGCCCCGAAAATAGAGACCACAGGCATTTCCCGGTTGTTGTTTGATAAGCTACCGGCCGCCGGCCACGCTACCCGTTGGTTCCGCCCGGTAGTCAGTATCCCCCCCCCCCCCCCCCCCGACTTAGACTGTGCGGTGCGGTGGTTGGTATACCCGACTGGCTGTCTGTGAGAAAAAGATCGTGGGGATGGGGGTCCTGAATGGGTACACTGAAAATGTGTGTTTAACTCGTCGATGAGGATTG